CCCCAAAACCCCAAAACCCCAAAACCCCAAAACCCCAAAACCCCAAAACCCCGTCTTAGCTGGGGATTATTGATTTTTTTAGGGAATTATAGGGGGATTTGGAATTTGGAAGGGGGTGCAGTTGTTTTGGAGAGGGAAATTTTGTGTGAGAGAGAGGAGGGGCCGGATTCTTCTTCTTGTGAGGAGAATTCGAGGAAGTCTTGTGGGGTTGTAGGGATGTGCGGTGGGGGTTCTGGCATAGGGGTATTGAGAGGAGGGGAGGAATTGGGGTTACTTGGTTGAGCTATTAATGAATTCTTGTCTCAAACTTGGTCAAAATTAACAATTTTAAGTTTTGGGCTGTTAGATTCTTCAGCAGATAACTTTTTTAAATCTCCTACTATATTTTTACATTCTTCGTAACTTTCTCTATCACTATCCTTAAGTCTCACTCCGAGATTAGCTTCATCTGGTTGGTTCTGGTTAAAATTTTGATCATCTTCCTCCTCTTCACCTATTTAGATTTAACAACCAAACTTACTTTCTTCTCTATCAGAGTTCAAAATATTATCATTCTTGGATGAATTTATCTGAGATTTTGAGAAATATCTAGGAGAGAACTGAGAGTATTCCGCTCTCTTTTCTGACTTCTGTTTTCTCTGGGATCTATTACCTAAGAATTGGTCTTCTATCCTCTTTATTTGAGGATGCTTTCCACATCCTTTTGAATGCTCAATTTCAGATTTTTCGCTGTTTAATTGTAAGATCTCTAACTCTTCTTCACTTGAAGAGCTGTAAGTATGAGAGCAGATAAATACCTATTTCAAAGAGATAGCTCTGTAAGATTTTTAAGTCTTGGAGCTAATCTACTCTTGTCAAGAGTAGCCATCTTGTTTTTATCACTCCTTGAGGTCAAATTTTCATCTCTTTGAGATTCAATTTTGCTCAGCTTTGTGTCGTGTGCGTTAAAATTACAAGTGTTTATACTTGTACCCTTTCTCATATTCCTTGGTTTTGATATATTATCTGGATAATCTTGAATAGGGATGCACTTTATCATCTCTTCTCCACTATCATCGCTCACACTTTCTTCAGGAGAAGCCATACCCAAATTTGAGGCCTTTGAGAAAAGGCTCGTTTTTCTTTCTAGATTAAATCTCAAACTCTGGTTATATAATTCCCAAAATTCTCACAAAAAGGGAATCAAATTAATTTACTTCAGCTATTTCTCTCTTTGATTCTGTTAAACTGACTTCTTTGCCTTCCTTGAATAGAATGCTTTCTGCCTAAACTAATGAGCTAAAGATTTACTCCGCTGCTGATCAGAGGTTTTAAGTTGAATTTTCATTACATCTGCCTCTTCTGTATTTTGCTGATTATAAGTTTCAACAAGAGATGAAAATGAATAATCCTTCCTAACTTTTTGTCGAGTTTTTTCAGGCTGAATATCCTCAATTCCTTTGATCAACATATTATAATACTTCAACATTAAAGCCTCTATGTCATCTTTACTCATCGAGCTTAAGTCTTCTGATGATGCCTTGGTAGAGCATCTTTGCTCTGCAAAGTTGTTAAGTATAAGTTCTAGATTTTTCAAAAGCTGTACATAACATGGTGAAGTGAGCGATCATGCTTTCTTGCTTCCAACATAATCACTTTTACTCTTCAAATCCGCTATCAACTTTGAGATAGACATTGCCAGAATCTTAAACTGAGAATCTTCTTTCTTTTCTCTTCTCGAACTATGGGTATTAAATATAGCCTACGTTTTGCCTGGTTGGTGATAGACCTGATTTAAAGTCTCAACAATAAACATGGGAGATTTCATTCCCTTGGAGGAATGCATCATCATAGCTTCTTTATGAGAATTTGTGATCCATTGATGTCTAAAAAGGTAACAGTTGGGAGTACTTTTCTTGTAAAATGAACTTTCTTCTTGGGCAGCTGACTACTTCTCCTCCTATCACTAACCGGTGTAAATGCTCTATATTGCATTTTATTATCTTTTTAGAATAAAATATTCAAAAAGTAAGAATTTTTATAAGGGAATAGCAATTTCATCAGAAATCTCAGTGGTAAATTTATATTAACCTTATACAAAATTGCTAACAATAGCATTCTCACAAGGACCTCATTAAAAAGCCTCCTCACTGAAATGCAAAGATATTATTAATTTTCTCTAGCTTTATTTACTTAAAAAATTGAGAAATCTAACTAATACAATAAACAACATATGTCATTGATCTCTGAGAAGTTATAGGGTTTCAATAAGATGCAGAAAAAGTTAAAAGCTAACGAGTTTTAAGGCATCAAAAAGAGGAATAAGATTTTCTGAATTTTTAATATTCCATTCCAATCCATAAAATATTTGAGCAATTCTTACCTTTTACAGGGTCATATAGCAACAATACTAAGACCGAATAAGTGATGTTGGAACTTCCAACATATCCGATGATTTGCAGAAAGAGCCCTGAATCTCCATCAAACTCAGAGAAGTGCGATAAGAGTCATGTTAGGCTCAAGATACCGACTAAGAATGCTCGAATAGTTTCCATTACTTGCATATAGATTAATTTATTGATTATCAGCAGTAGGTTTATATTTTGGGGTTTTGGGGTTTTGGGGTTTTGGGGTTTTGGGG